AAAATTTTATTAAACTACTTTTTGTTTATGTTATACTAATTAGAATAGCATAAAATCTTAGCTAATAATCCATATTTTAATAGTATACAAGTTTTAAGTTCTTAATTCTAAATGGAAATATATAAAAAATCCTGAATTACCACTAGTGTAACACCCATGATAAATTTTGTCTTAGCATGTCATCATCTCTATTTTATCCATCACCCCCTCGAAAATGTACGAAATTAAACGTAAAAATGCTCTCTATGAAATCGTTATTGCTCAAACAGACCATAACTTTTATGGCCTTCAGTTTTGTTTTGTTACATAGCTACCAAAGAGAAAATCAGACCCCTCCTGCCACACCCACCTGTCACATCCTCTCTTTCACAATTGGTTGATAGTTTACTCTTACGTTTCATTATATATTATCTATAACCAATAGAAAGTCAAGGTTTTCACATATCAAATGGCGTTTTGTATAACATTGTATTTTGAACAGATAACCGTTAATGTCACTTGGAGTAGCAATTTCGTTCCAGTGGGAAAGTTAACCACTAGTTTGGATAAATTTCTAACGCTCTTGTCTCATAGTTAGAAAGCCAGGAATATTTTTAGAAGTAAGTGAATTTGTCTACTTTTTGCGAATTATTAGTCTATATTCTTTGGTGTATTGTTTAAGTAAATAATCGCTAAAAAAATCATGCTTAACTTTACTCGACAATCCAGGTCAAGAAAAAAGAGGATTGGGTAAGTACTTTATTTCTTGTTTTTCATATTTATTCTTTATTTATTATTATAAAAGTAACTAAAATTAAAAGTACGGATCTTTTTAAGTTATTTAAGACTAGAATAGGTAAAATAAGTATTAATAATAATATAATTAAAATTATTCACGAAGCACGCACGCGTAATATAATTCGATAGCGTAACGTGAGCTGCACGTTCCCCGATGATTTACAACTTATAATGGCGCGGATAGCAGTTAAACATCGTTCATAGGGCAATAAAACAATAAAATATAATTATAAATAGTTGTATAACGTTACGAACTTAGATCTACTTAGGATAAACGAATGTAGTTTCATTTTAGTATTTGAAGTGATACTAGAAAGAAAAGAAGGTTAATTTAGGTTTATTTCGATTTTTTTTTTGGTGGTTAAAAAGTTGGTCGAATTGACCGACCTAGTTTTGAGATTAGGGTAGAGAAAATAACATATAAACAAGTTTGAAATGCATGTAGGAGGTTTTAGGGATTACACAAAGGAAATTTGAGATTTTTGAAATGACGAAAAGTATTTTTAATTTTAACATGAAAATTACTTTGCACACGGACTATTCAAAACAAATACTCAATATATATTTATGGACACAACTTTATTTTATTAAAAGAACTTCACTAAGAACTATGACTTTTTGTATGTAAAAGACTTGTAATATGAACTGAAAGACTGTCAAATTTCGTGGAGATATACCCAATATATAGAGAGTTGTAAGTACTAAATTGATGTCAACTTTAAACGAATACAGAAGGTCACGTGACTCCGTCAAATCGACCGACACCGTGTCGAAAGATTTAATGAATGTAATCGTTTGGTGTTTTATACAAATAGCTCACCAAACACTATTCCAAATGAAAAAGTTTATTTGATAATAGTTTGATCATTTCATTTCAAGTTGTACTTAGTAGGGAAATATAATATGAGGACGTTTTTTATAACTTATTTTTAATCGTTTCAATTCAAAGTGTACTTCATAGACAAGTAAAAACGACAAGGAAACCCTATTTTATTTTTATATGACCACCTACTGATGAGTATGGTTCAGTTATGTTTCTTTAATCTAAATATGATAAGGAATAAATGGCTTTTGTAATGTGACTGAAAATACATAGCTACAATACAATTATGTATTAATCTTTTCACAAAGTGTAGCGCATTCAAAGCTTTGTTGCCTATTTTTTAGTGAGGCCCGAATTGTTTCTATGGTATAGTTCTGGATTTACGATACCCCAAAATATTCCTCGCATTTTAAACTGTATATTTGTTATAAGAGTGACAGCCTATCCGATAGCGTAGATGAAGGATGGTAGGTAGAGTACTGAATGCCTTTCCTCTGGTCAGTAGTTCAAAATTAGGTACTACGGCACATAGCTTTAGTAACTTTGCAATAAATACACATACGAATTATCTTTAGTATTCCTTTATCAGATATCTTCCGACTAGCTCCAAACCGCAGTTTCGAAGTGTTGAGCTCTTATTAACACAACTACAATGATGGCATGGTATAACGACAACAGGGTTAAGTAAGTGATTACTTAGAGAAGGTTTGATATTGTTACGTCTCCGTTTGTTAATTAATTTTCCGTAAAGCAGTCAGAGAGCACGAGAGACGTTACAGCGTTTGTTTAGCGCGATTGTTGAGATTAAGTGTATCGCAGAGTTATATTCGGAAAGAATAAACCAGTTTTATTAAGTAAAGACTTGTGTCGCTTAAGTTTCGTCGGAACGAAAGTGAGTAATTGAACTAATCTACACACACATTACATTACCTTCTTTTATATACCAGCGTACCCTATTTCTAGTAAGAACTTGAACATTCGTCAAAGTACATGATAGTTCTAGAAACGTTGCGTCACAGTGTCATGTGACTCGCTGACGCAACAGTATTCTAGATTCACTTAACCATCATCATGCACTATTTTTGATAACTAAAAATTGAGTGGATGTATAAAATATGTTCAAGTTATTTTCTAACCCATCAAATTACCCAATAGCTGCAAATCGCTTTCAACTTTTAGACGTTTTGGAATCTCTAATGATCATCTCCAGGTCTTCTAAGTATTACTTATATCTACTAACGTCAGCTGTTTTAACTCTTTTATACATGGATTAATAAGCTTATAAAGTATACACATAGGAGCTGCAGAAATTTCAATATGTATATCAAACATGCACAAAAATGTCGTAGAAGTTCTGTATTTACTTTTACTAGATAAGGGTCACAACCCCCTTTTGGAGGCTAATATACTGAACAACCCACTGTCTTTTCTTTTGGATAATCATGTGACACACAATGTAGTGCATACATTGTACAGTGAACAACAATTTGTAGTTTGTAAAACAAGGAATGTCACTTCCTTTCACTCATTGATTTTTCAACCAAATGATAGTCATAGCTTTTCTAGAGTTTTTCTATCATTCCCAACCATAGCAACTAGGAAGTTGACTTTATCATTGTGATCAAAGATCCATTTGTTTGAATTGTTTAGTTGGTGTTTCTTCCTATGATTATTTACAGATAGAAAAATTCAGGGTCACTATCTGTATTTTTTCTTCTCTTTCTATCAGGCTGAAGTGATGGTGCTCTCATTGTCTTTCACAGGTTCACACTCTGCCTCCTGGTCAATCCAGGACCACAGAGGCTCATCAGTAATGTAGAATTTCATTTTAATCACATTTTCTACACGCTTTCTTGTGCTACGTGAATGTCATAGTTTGACATATTAAACTGCTGTAAAACAAGAAAGGACCAGTCCGAAATAATTTGAGTAGTTGTCAAGCTTCTGACATGTATGAAGGCCACATCAAATTTCCTAGTTCAGACTTGTTTTCTTTTACTGTCTTATTGTATGTTCTCTTCTGTCTTTTGGCCACCTTTCCTAAATGCTGATGTGCAATGTCATGCATGAACTAATGTGGCTCAAAACCATTTTGTGCATTTTTGTGGGCATTCCAGCACTTTTGCAGTTGGAAGGGACAATACATGAGATTCACTAGCAAGTTTGGAGAACAGCCACTGGACTGTAGCTATGCTGCATGGTACCCTTCATTATTTAGGGTAGGTGATAATCCCAGCCAGGTGGTCCATACCATCCAAATGAGAATAATAAGGTGAAGTACATAACAGTCTTGACTACTACTAGTATCTTACACAACCCAATAAACAGGTGACTGTTATAATGGCAGGTTATACTGTTCAGCTAATACCACGGCAACTATTTTGGCTAGCATATTGGCTTATGAATATGCTTTGGTCCATTTAGCAGTTGATTATTGCCGGTATGTATCAGTTACTATGGTCTCTCTCAGGTAGAGGGCTAATATTATTCTCTGGAGAGGAGAACTGAAAACTCATTGACAGAGTTTTCTCTGGTGCAGATGGATTTTCTCTATGCAGCAAAGGAAGTACAGTGTTCACAACATTGCTCTATATTCTTGCTGGAATGTGACGAGTAAAATCAACCCTGAAAGTTGACTGTAGTATGAGGTACTCCTTGTGTCCCCAATATTTGTATCATGAAAAGCTTAGAGAATTTTGGCTCTTAAGGCTCTCGGGACTCTTATGATACTGGGATCATCACTGATCATGTAACAAATCTGTACAGGTTGTATCTATGGTATAGCATTCACACCTATACCTCTAATAAATTAAAAAAATTTCCATGGGTTAAATATTTCTGTACATGTGATCTAACTGTTTAATAAATTCACACTCAGATAGGCATTGCCAAAAGTACTTAACAAATACAATACTGCAAACAGTTCTGTTTTTGACATACAGTAACATTGTTTGGCAGGAATGAACATGCAGCTTGCCGACCCGATAATATGTTCCACACTGTAGTATGTTCAGTTAGAGTTATGATATGTTTAACATCCAAGTGACATTGCATGGACTCGCTGGGTTGTCCCTCCACAAACATATTGACCAAAATAACTTCTTAATCTGCTACTGCCATACTGGGATACATTTTACTATGCAAATATTACAGCTTATTACATTTTTTGTACCATTTAAAATGAAGCAAACTTTTTTGGTGAAAAGGATTCCCATTTTAAAATAAATAATTTTTTTTTCATAACTTCTTATCCAAGTTGTCATGAACTTAAAATATGAAGATGATTTCACAATGTCAATTTACAAGAAGTGTTTTGCTTCCCATAAGTAAAGGCATTTATATGTGTATATGTAAAACAATAAACACAATTTTGGTATTGAAATGCATGTATGTCCTTTTATTTTTTGTATATAACATTATAAATACATGTGCACTGCATTTTATTCAAACTATTATTTTAATGACCTTGAGTGACACAAGTGTAAAGTTGTACTTTATTTTCAATAGCTACTCATTAATGAAAAATGAATGTTATCGTTGCTCTGACTTAAAAAGCAAATCATCTGGTACAAAACAGTTTAGTTGTGTTATGACTAAGTTAGAACTAAGAGTTCAATCAAATAGGCTTTCATAACAAAAAAATGGATTTAGTATGGGTATTTACATCAGTGATAAGAAGAAATAAAAAACCAAAGAATATTAACTTCAGTCAAAAAAGCTAATGTAAATAATTAAGTGGAAACATATATACATACATTCATTAATAATATTAACTTTTCTCTATGTTAAACATAAACAGTTGGAAAAATAAGAGTTAGATTTTGGATGGGTTGCAGAACTAGTTAGCAGACTACATTATTTCACAGTGCACTGTTTATAAGCTAGTCACAATAACATGCCCAATATTATTTCTCTACCAGAGAAATAATCATAGTGCTCTTAATTACATAAATTAATAATTCAAACAATAACTTTATACTTAATTTTGTACAATACCTTTAATACATTCTAAACACCTTTCTACTATGCATCACCCTAGCTCATGCATGAATGCATAAAGACAATAAAATATGTTCAAAGTTTTACTACATTCTAAAAAAATACTGCACATTTGAATATAGGATTTTGATAAACAGTGCTGCTTATTTACTAGATAAAAGTGCTATGTACAATGTACTGGCAAATAAACTTTTGAAACAAATAGGACTTTTGACATATGAGGGTCTCTGGCAGTTATTTTTTCCTTTTAGAAAATAACATGATGAAAAACAACCTTGTGGATTATCATAATCCTATTTGTATCTTAGAGAACTATAACTTTCAACATGTATGACTTGCCTCACTATTTAGCAAACTATTATGTTATGATAAAAAATGTAAAAGAGTTTATCACTTCAGTGGTGTTATCCTCATTAAACCTTACTGTGTGCTTAAATGTAAAGTATTTAACTCCTTAAGACTGACTGTATTAGTAAATGAAAAGAACATCTCCGTATAATAAAGTGAAAGAACATCAGTTTAATGGAGTTATCCTCTTTGAGAGTGACTGCAAATAGTGAACTTATAGTTAAAGAGGATCTTTTCAGTAGTGCCATCCTCCTCGAGCTGCTTCTTCCAATTTCTGATGTTTCATCTCATGCTCATGCCGCTGTTGTTGTGGGCTAGAAGTACAAATGAGTTATTTTGAACTTTATTATGTTTTTAGAGAAAGCATTCAACTTTAATAATTCTTACCCTTAAAAAAGTGTAAACTGAATATTTTAAGGGTTGCATACAAACCTATGAAGTTATGAATTTTACTGACAAAATGAAAACTGAGAAGAACTGGATCTGAGATGTGGTAGTTTAGTTACATTAGGTAGCTGCCCAGTAAACAGTGTTAAAGATCTGAATCTTTCCCAGTCCCATTTTTGCACTTATGCTGATGTACAAGTATGTATCAAAAATGTAATTAATGATAATATTTCTCAGAATTAATACAGAGGGTTAGTTTTACTTTATAAAAAAAAATCTATATATGATAATGTAGTAGTGAGTTGCCACAGATGTGAGCATGGTGCCACAAGCAACATGATTAACACATGCATTTGGTTCATGGTTATTTCCTGACCATTCAACAGTACAATGCTGCCAGCTTGAAATAGGTACCTTTACAGATAAGTGACTGTGTCACATCACTTTATGGTATTCCAATCCAGAGCCACAAAGTAAAGGATATGTTTATGGAAGGAACCTTCCAATTAACAATGCCATTGCAATGAAGCTGTACTTATCTTCTAGTAAAACTAACAAGACAATCAACAAGGATTTACAGTTCACAAAGGCTGAGAGGCTTCTAACCATCCTTCTAATCAAAGAAAGCTAAAGAAACAGAAATAATAGCTAGCCAGGTAGACCACATACCTGTCAAATAATAGCTAGCCAGGTAGACCACATACCTGTCAAATAATACCTAGCCAGGTAGACCTGTCAAATAATAGCTAGCCAGGTAGACCTGTCAAATCCCCTGATGCAGCTCCAATGGAGGTTAATGATCTGCTTAAACTTTATCTTGAAAGCTAACGTACAAATACAGTGAAGGGCCTTTGGAGAGTTTATCAAGACTGAATTTGCTATCATTTACAGTATCTTGTTTCAATGGTATCTTCAATTCAAGCACGACCAGTCAGACAGAATCAAGCAAAATTAACTGGATATGGATGTTTCAAACAATTTAATCAACATTATCATATTTATAAGGAGTTTCAATCATCTAGAAATATTAGTATCATTATATTCTAAACATGAGAGACAATGGTATTATAGATAATATACATATGGGAGTTTATTAATCCTTTTCATGTTGTGTCTTTGGTTATAACTATTAGAAAATTTCACACAACACAGGTAAGACATGTTATGGACACTATTTTCATTAGGAAACATGCACAAAGATAAACTTCACATAAATATGATGTCTGGTTGTTTTAACACAAAGCTACACAAGGGGCTATCTGTGTTTTTTTGTTTTTTTACTGTAAAACTCTATCAGATTTTAGCATTGTAAGTCTGTAAACTTATCACTAACTCTATGAGGGCCAAAAAGATGAATAAATTTCACAATGATTACAGGATAATTATGCTGTAGAGTTTAACACAGTCAATCTATCTAGAGCTAGAAGGTTTAATTTGGGGGTGTGAGACCATACTTGCTTAACCTGTTTTTGTTATGGCAAAGTTACTAAGGCTATTTGGTACTGCCACTAAATTTGAGCTGCTGACATCAGGGAAGGCAACTGCCTTGCAGCACCTAAAACAAACTTTTTTCTTGAACTGTTGACTTGAAGAAAGGCAACTCATTAGAAGCCCCCCATCACAATTTTTTTTCACTTCTACATACCACAGTTTGAGAAACACTACTAACTCATCAATGAAGCCATTGATTAATAAATTAACAATTACCACTAATTGCCCAGATCTATATGCATCATGAATATTATTTAGATGATTAGTCAATGTTTACTGAGAATCTATGTTCGTCTTTAATATTCAACTGGTTGCGATTGTCTTAGACATGTTACAAGCACATTCACTAGGAAGTGTTATACAGGAAAATCATATTGCATAAATTTAAATCAGAAATAGTGCTTTGTCTTTGACACTAATAGTACTGAAAAATCTTTTACAGGCATTTGAATAAAGCTGTTTCTAATAATTTTGTGCAAAAATAATATTTAAAAAAATCATCACTCTGTCTAGCTTTAGTATGACAATGGAAGAAAGATTCCAAAAGATTTGGAAGTTGAAGTCATGTATTTTTTTGATTAACCTCAGGGATGAGATTGTTACTTATTAAATATACATTTCTAAACCAAGGCATTGTGAGATTCAGAATACAAGATAAATCCTAAGTATTTCTGTAGCAGTACTGGAATTAATTACTGACAGAAAATATTCCATTCAAGGAAAGGTAAATATCTCAATTTATAGGACTGTTACAATATTGTATAGGTTACTTGAAAGCTAGAATCAACAAAACTGAAATGAGTGCTTGGCTATTGGATTGTTAGATGCTAAAATGAGGGAAATTAAAGATACTTGTTGAATACTAGTTTGCTTGACACAAGAATGGGCAGGATTGAAGTAACTAACTTGCTTTAAGTTAAAACAAGTAAGTTTAAATTAATGGGTTGCCTAGATATTTGTAAGCTTGAAGTAATGGGTTGCCTAGTTGTTTGTAAGCTTGAAGTAATGAATTGCCTAGTTGTTTGTAAGCTTGAAGTAATGAGTTGCCTAGTTTTTGTAAGCTTGAAGTAATGGGTTGCCTAGTTTTTGTAAGCTTGAAGTAATGAGTTGCCTAGTTGTTTGTAAGCTTGAAGTAATGAGTTGCCTAGTTTTGTAAGCTTGAAGTAATGAGTTGCCTAGTTGTTTGTAAGCTTGAAGTAATGGGTTGCCTAGTTGTTTGTAAGCTTGAAGTAATGGGTTGCCTAGTTGTTTGCTTAAAAACAAAAAGAGAGGTTAACCCTCATCAACACACCTTTGAAAAGTTACATTGTGGAAAACCTGAGGTCCAACTGCACCCCAGCACAAAATTACAATTGTAGTAAGCTCTGGGATGAAATTCCCAAAACAACTGCATTGCAACTTTTATTAGGGTTAGCATGCAATGTGAATAACATAAAAATAGATGTATTCTAGAGGAAATATGTTGACAAATCAGGAAATTACAAAATTGAATTGTTCCTCAATATAGAAATAAGTAGTATTAAATCATCAAAAAAGCTTTATTATACTTGTATATTCAAGTCATTATCCACCAACATATGATGAGATTACCACAATTCTGAAAAATTCAACTTAAAGAAAACTGAAAGTGTACATTGTGAGTCATCTTGGGTCCGATGAGACCCTAACACAAATGTATCCTTATAGTGGTCTATAGATTGAAAATCCAATAAGCAGGTTATTTACAAAAAATTATCAAACAAGATTTCTATAAAATAGGGCATTATAAGCAGTCATCATGGAGAACACTTGTTTAGGAATGAGATGTGCATACATGCTTACCACAATGATGTTATTAGCAAACAGACCAGATGATACTGTACTACTTTGATGGCTTATCCTTTACAACAACCTATATAGCGAAATAGATATTTAGAAATTTGTTTTGTATGCTATAGGGCAAACTGTAGGCATAGTGATGGTCAATGATAGTATGGGGTCTGCATGAGCCCCAGATAAATATTAGATTATAGCTACTTACTCCATCTGCCTGTTTTGAAAACAATAGTGTCATATTGATCCAGGGTTTCTGCTTGACAGTTACATCAACTGATATACGTTTGTAATGATTACGTAAAAAATACACAACCGAGAAAGTCATTGGAGTCCATGTGGACTGCAGGTGTGTTGATGAGGGTTAAATGAAATGGTTGGCTATTAGCTTATTTAAAATAAAAGAAGGTGACATTGAGAAAACTTCTTTTTTTTTAGTTTTTAGCAATAAGAATTAAAGACTTAGCGAGACTGAAGCAACTACTTCATTTAGTTCATTTAAACCAGACATGAATGAAAATGAAGTACCTATATTTCAATTCATTTGAAGACAGAATGGATAAAATTAAAGTAAATGACATACTCCCAGTTAAAGACAGATATATATCTGCTTGCAGCTAAAATGTATGAACTTAAAAGTAATTATTTTTTAAATCATACATTTTTTCAGGTATCGTATTATATTTGTTTTGAACTTTAGAAGCCACTGACAACATTATTTTCATAAAATACTTTATTTTCTGAAACTTCAAAAGTAAGAAGTGATAAAAAATTGTTCTTACCAAAAGAATTCTTCATCTTGTGTTAGAAGCTGAGGGGGTATGTTCCCCCCATGTGAGCAAACCTCTCCCTCATTATTTGATTTTGAAAATGTTCCTGGGTAGCTTGAGTAGCTGTGAACTGTTGGTGGAAAAAAAAAGTTTTTCTTATGACTACAACAAAAAAGGAATCTATATGGATAGGCTACTAAAGCAAAATTGCATTAGCAAGTGTGCAACACCAACTCTGCAACTGATTAAGTTATTCAGCATTCTATTTCTCATCGATAATTCCAAACAAGTTAATCTCATTAGTTATAGCTATCTTAAATTATCCATAACTTAAGTAAAGGAAAAAGAAATCTACCATGAAATCAGAAAAGATGTGAATTTGTAGTTTAACGACACAAAGCCACATCGGCTATCTGTATCAAACATGCATTTTTTTTTATAATAGTAAGTGCTAAGAAAAGATTAGAAAGTAAAAGTTACATGAATAAAATAAATATATAAGTTAGAAGAAATTTGTTTAAAAGGTTAAAAAATTAAATAGTAAAGAAGCCTCTGACCTTAAAAAACATTGGCATCATTCCTGATGAATCAAGAAGACACCAATAATTAAAAAAGTTTAAAATGGTGCTGTTGCTGAATAACAGAGTGACAGAGTGAACGTAATATGTGGGCAATTGTGATTTAAGTGACACACAATTCACACATTGACAGATCATTCCTTTACATACATGGTATGGGTGAATTTGTTATGTAGCCAGTGAATGCTGATTTAGTTGCAATATCATTTCCTCAAATACTGATAAAATCAAGAATCTGCAAAAAACTGATTGGGTAAACATAATACAGAAAATAAAGATGTTGATAAGACATGGAGGGATGGGCTGATCATTGGATTCATCAATGCCAGAAAGATTCAGTTTTGCCTGGATATGAAGGTCAAAGCTAGATACAGCAGATCATCTGTGGGGAAAAAAGAAAAACCCACGAGTCATAAACATGCAGTGCCATGTGGAAAGCTATGATCGGAATTTAGCAGAATATGGAAGAACAAATTTCAAATGTCAAATGTAGAGTTTCAGAATTCTCTGTGTACAAATCTGAACTGAAGATGTGCAGAAAGTCCCTGCATAAAGCTGAAGCCTCTGGTGATGTACAAAGTCTAACATCTTAAATATCCCTGGCTGAGGTGTAGACTTATTGTCCAGTTTAGATTGAATAAAGGCATAAAAGACCTAAGACAAATAATATCTATCCACATCCCAAGAGGTGGATGTTCAGTGCCCTTTCACATGTGGTTTTAAGATCCTTTGTTGTGGAAAAAGTTTACTTACTGTCAAAGAGAAGTCCTAAGTACCTTATTTAAGCTACCACAGGAATTTATGCACCTCCAAGATGTAGCTTGGGATCAGGATACAATATCTATTGATGGTAAAAATGTATGCAAAAGTTTTAGATGATGAAACATTAAAACCATTTGCATTAAGTCTAATCAAATAATTAACTGATTGCAGTTTCAATTTGTTGCTCATTATACCTGATCTTTGAAGAACTAGGTGAAATCTGAAAGTCACTGACATAGAGCAGTTTGCAGCTGTGGGAGGATGTTGTTCAGTGCAGGCATTGATTTTCATACTGAAAAACAAGATATTTAAGACAAAACCCTGAGGTATACTGACTTTCCATGTGAAGGATAAATAAATAATCCTACATGGACATACAATGATCTCCTAAACATTTATGAATAAAAACAGGCAAGTGGCCATGAAACTCCTAACAATGGAAGTCACGTAAAGTTCAAAGCCTTCTATAATAAGATATGGTAAGGTAAAGGTGCAAAGCCTTGTATCCTGCAGTCTGATGTTTCTTAGTCTGTCAAACAGTACACACACTGTTATTATGTTAAATATTTTATTAAAGATTGTTTATTTTGTTTATTACTTTTTGGCCAGTCTCTTTATTTGATTTATCATAGTCTCATTTAGTAAGCATTTTTAGTATTACTCAGAAATTTCATATATTGATCAAATGTCCTATTTGGCAAACTTATCCAATATAGTCCTGAGTTAATTCAGTTCATATTGGCTGTAAGCATTGCAGGGTTGATTGTGAAAGTTACATTGTCATCATGAAGATGCATAGGAAATGTTACACTTGGATTATTTTCCAACCAGATAATGCAGTTGTGTGTGTTGAAACTTTCATAAAAAGTGAAGTGTGCTTCATCAGCCCAGTATTGGCAGACCATTGACCATTGACTTGTAGTCTTACTAGGAAATGCAACATGAAATTAACATGTTGGGCTAAATCTGTCTCTTTCAGTGCTTGAATATGATGCAGCTTGTGAGGAAACATTCATAAAGTCGACCAAAGAGCCTAATGAATGGTTACAATTGACAATTTCAGACACCAGGGACATAATGTCCATTTGTGCTGACTTGTTCTGTTATGGCATGGCTGATGTCAGCAATAGTTTCAGAATAGGTGTTGTTGGTCTGCTTGTAAGTGACTTAACACAAAAGCATCTGTTTAGCAGTACTAAAACAGGGTCCTCCTCAGATGTTATGCACTCAGTGGTATTCCCTGAGGACTTTCTTGGCATTTCATCCTTTGATGTAACAAAATTTTGCTAGTTCACCTATCATACTTTGAGTTTCATGTTGGTTGAATGAGTTGCACTGCAATTGACAAGCCCATTTATACTCATGGAAAGTACATGAAATAAACATAGTGGTAGCCCTGGCAGCATCATGTGACAACTGTGACATGATATTCTTAACACATCTGTGCAATTTCACCTTCCTCTGCCATATTGTTTCAGAGATATGTTGCACTGAACTGCAACATTTTTTTATGATCACCCTGCATTTGGTAAGTTAATAACCATTTATAAAGATCATTGTATGAAAACTATAAGAAAAATGTAGTGACATTATCACAGATACCCAATTCTTCAATTTTAAGCTGTGCATCATTGTAATATCTCTATGTTCAACTAATATCACATAATACTTTAGAATAATTAATACACTTTATCTATATATATCCCAGTTGAATATTGTTGTGTTTCCTCATTCAGTTCACTATTACTATTATAAAATTTTCTACATATCACTATTAAAAATTTATTTACATTTCTAATGTAGAAAAGGTATTTGAAGATATTGTTTTGTTTTTTCCTCTGGACCACTGTTTCACCATTTTAGCATATCATTAGATGATGCATCTTAATGCAAGTTGCAAAAACATTTTGAAATTCTGCAGTTCTGTATACAGAAATGTAAAAATTTCTGGAAAAAGCCACATGTGTAAAACAAATAATTATGAACAATAAAGTTTTGACACAATGAAGTTCATGGAAGAACTTTAAGTAGATGACAGAGCAAGAAAAAGTCTTGGAATATACCATCAAGAACAAATGTTTGTTTTAGAGTTTTGTTTGCTTTATGTTAACATCTTCAGTTTACTTGCTACTTTGAGGAAAATGGTTCATCATAAAATAACCTATTTATTGTAACATAATACATTTCATCCAATTAATTTGATTGGCAAAGGCTTTATTGGGATACTAGACTAGGGGTAAATTAATAAAATAATACTTTACCCAAGACCCACAAAACATCAACAGTAATTTTCATACCCATCACTTGAATTTTACTTATTCTATCATTTTTATGCTTGTCATTTAAGTTACACTTTCTAGTAGGTATTGTGCGATAGATCAATAAATCCTAGTCTATTTGAAGAAAAATTTATGCAGTCAGACAAACAAACTCACGTGAATTGACAATTCACAAGTAAACAATAAAATATAGTAAGAGTATTTATAATAGCGTACAGAGTAAGAAACAGTTATGAGCATTCAGTGTATGACACGGTTTTACGAGTTGAAACAAAGAAATTCACAACAATGAAGAATAAAACCCATAAAAGAGAAAAAGGTATTTATAACAGTCTATGAAATGAACTGAAGCTAAATTATTGCAAATTAAAGTAAATGTAAAGTTTTAATAAAGGCAAACTTAGCTGAATATACAGAAATGTCTTAATATGTGTTCACAAAGTGATAAGCATATGGTTTTGAACAAACTGCACATGTGTATTTAATTTGACCTAAATAAGTCCAGAAAACCCACAGCAATTGTCCTTACTGAATTTTTTTTTAAATTACACATGGATTAAATGTTGTTTGTGCAAAATACCTTGCAAGTAAAAAAACCAAAGTTGAAATCAAAGCTAGTCGTCATGTGATGACAACAACATTGTGCCATCGTGTAGCATACTCATTGTATTGAAAGTCTGACTATGCAAAAAATTGGTAAGATGATTCTGAATTGAAAAACAAGTATGCAACTGTGACTCATCAGATAAAGACCTTTCTAATGATACAATATTTGTAGCATTTGATCAAGAAACTTGTGAGAAAAAATTTCCAAACAAATAGACAAATGCAAGCATATTATTTATACGGATCTGCATTGTTTGTGTTAGCTTGATAAACATTTGAAAAATACTACATACAAAAAAAACAGTCTAGGTTACATTTATCAAAATAGTTTAAGACAACTCAAAATTTAAATATACTAAAGAGTTAAATGAAATGAATATAGAAAACTATAAAAATATTTTTATTGTAATAAGCCTAAAAGACGATCAAATGGTATTTAAATAAATTGTTAAAATTTATCAGTAATTTCACACAGTTGTCACCAAAATTACTGTACAAAGAGTGGTTATAATGTAAAAGATTCAATTAACTTGCAAAACAACTGATGATTACCTTTCACTTACCTGTTGAGCGAATGGGTCCTCAAAGGAAGGTTGCAGCAATCCTGTACCAGGATGCATTATTTCACCTCGAGGTGGCATGATTCCTGGCCGTGTACATGGATAGACTGAAGGTGGAAACAGAGGGTGAGATCCATATAAGGGATGGCCTTGATCAGGATGATTAGTTCCTCCAATGGCTGCTGCTGCAGCAACAGAAGAAATGGAATCTTGAGGGTGAAGATGCAGGTGTGTATGTGCATGCATGTGGGCATGACTTTGAAAATCGGGTGTAATTCCTGCCATCTGAAGCCGAACAAGAGGATCTGTGGTTAAGGCTAAATGTTCATTGTGAAGCCGTTCTGCAGTTAGGCAGTCATGGTTTGGATGCCCAATTTCAGCTAGGGTGGTAGGAATACCTATTCGCTCTAACCGTTCCCGATCTGGACGAGAGTAGAAGTTGAATGCAGTTCTATGAAAACCCATAGTGGAAGTACACGGAAGTAACCTTGTCATGCCAGATCCTGAGGCCACAGCTCCATAATGATGTTGAAATTCCAACAATTGAGGATCAAATGCATTTGGCTGGAGTTTTGCTTTCATTTCAATTTCAAATTTTAACCTCTCTTGAAAATCACGGTCTCTCTTTTCTCTCTCTAGCTTCATTTCAAGCCTATATATTTAAAGTTTCATTTTCTTAATTTATTTGTTACAGAATTTCCTGCAAAGCTATACAAAGTGTACATGCATATAACTATCCATAATTTTGAGCTTATAGATAAAAGGGAAAGTAGCTAGTCAACAGTACTCACTGCTAACTCTTGGGTTACTTTTGTATGACTGAATAGTTATCCCAAAGTGCAGAACACATTTTTGTGGTAACAGGCTATAAAACATGAACCCTCAGATTCATAGTTCAAGCATGCTAACTGATAGGTCATGCCTGGCTCAATTTTCTTAGTAGACTATATTGTAAGGTACAATTAAACTACCAGTTAAGAAAGGATTCTGTTCTTACATTCATATATATGTGTATATATGACAGTTTGAGCTCCTAAATCTGAAAACAAATGTTCTTAGAAGTATATGATTGTAAGCAGTATAATTTGGAATAATTAAAAAACAAACACCATATTCATAAAAATATATTCAAAACTAATAAAAAGCTTCAATTACGTATATCTTAGCAGAAATATATATTTTTTCAACCATACTCAAAGCTTTAAAATATACCTGAAGTTAATATCAGTTTAAAATTGTTGATTGATAAAAAACAATTAAACTTGATAACCTATCAAGTTCAAACCCAGTAAAGCATTATCTAAAAAATTCAAAAGAAATATTCAAGCCAGCTGTAACACTTTAAACAGAAACCAACCTCTCTCGAGCAGTGGCATCGTACATCCCAGCTGAGATCTGATACTGCAGTAAAGGATTTATGCATGGTTGTGATATTCCAACTGAAATTGATAAAGTGCTAATTTGTGGTAGTTGCTCTGATACTGAAGTTTGTGGGTATCTAGAGGAGGATGTAGCATTTGGATGAGCATATTCACTGAGGTGATAAACAGCTGGAGCATCTGAATAGCCTCTTGAAGTTGTCCTTTCAAAATATCCAAACTGAAGGGAGTTTACACTGTGTGAACTTTTTGCTAATTTACTTTCTCCACTGTGATTCTTTTCTTTAAACTTCTGCACAATATGAAAAATATATTGGCTCTTTTCAAAATAAATTAAACATCTTCTAAAGACAGAAGTTTTTTCACTTATAAGTAAATCTTAGTTTTGCATTACAAGTATAGAGTAAAAACATTGTATTCTCTTTTGCAGGACTTAAAACATGATAATATTTCAACATAGTTAACTAATGATTGATTAAATCTATAGCTTCTTTAGTATTAAAGTGTTGCAGAAATAGAAACTCACAAAAATGAAGAATAAATACAGTACTTAAAAAACAACTAACTTCAAGAGGTAATGATAACCTCATTTATGCTAGAAGTAAGATTTCTTAAAATTACTGGTAGTTATTAATAATACTTATAAAAACAGATGCTCTGTTTGAAACTATGCCACCTCAGTGAAATTGGTTGACACCATTGTTTTGGTTTTTGAGTTATCAAGTAATATAAAAGAAGCAGAAGAAAGAAGAACAATAAATTCAAACTTTTTGCTATGATATTTACAGACATTCCCAGAACTCGTGGTTCAGTAAGTACATAAATATTGTTATAAAAGTAACACTGTATAGTATTGTAAAGTTCTGATGACCTATTGAGGAGATAATTAAAATGTCATTTCGATGAACAATCTGAGCCATTCTTATATAAACAGTGCTACCACCTGTCTGATAAGCTACTGTACAAATATCACTACTATTAATTAATATATTAACAATAATTAACATGGAGAAATTACATGCACAGTATATACAAACAGGTGAAAGTGGAAAGCTGTGTCAACATGCTGGTTGCAATAGGAACAAATATAGGTTAATTCCAAGCTGAAAAGTAAACAGAGGTTACAAAGCTGAAAATAATGTTTATTTCTCTCTCTTTCATCTTACTTTTCAGTGTGGACTTCTCATGTAAGCAAACAGTTTTGTACAAAGAAGCAAATATCTTCTCACTCCAGGCTTAGGAAATCTAAAGCATTTTTGTTCTGTGTAGTGGCTGTTGGCTGTCCCAAAACACTTTACCTTCCTGTTTATTGACAATAATTTAAAGCTTGTAAATTACAAAACAAGGTAGTTGCCCTTCAACCCACCAATTGTTATGCCTTATTTTATAAGTGGAACTGAGTTGACAGATTATGCTAATCAGTCATCCCTCAACTGTTTGATTAATATTTCATTCCCCCATTTACCTACTTAAACCAATTTATTGTTTTATCTTTGTGTGTGTTATTTATTCCACTAGCTAAAGAAGAGAATTAATTAATTCAACATAAAAGCTGTTTACATATCACAAGTGCAACCTTTAAAAAATTTATTTTATTAGAAGCATTCAAAAACCTAGGCAGCAAGACCCTTCACTTAATCAGTGTGAAGAGATGCATTACATACAGTAAACTGGAAGCCCTAATTAACATATTATAATGTTTATAAGCACATATAGCCTGTCAGCAAAAAGCAAAGTGAATGTTGATTGGATGGCCAAGATATCACAAGATTTTTTTTACATTTTTGTCAGCTTGTTAGTGTTAAGTTTTAGATATTAGTATACATTTATTAGTTTTCAAAAACGTGGATAAATAGGTGTTACATGTCAGCAAAAAATGATTTAAAATCATATACAACAGTGCATAGGTATCAAGAGGATTATTTAAAATTTGGTTTCATTAACAGAGTTATTAATAACAAGGAACAATTGCACTGTAGTATTTGTTTGCGGAATTTAATTAATGTCAGCATGAAACCAAATAAACTTATACAGCATTTGTAAACCAAACACCCTGAGCATATGGATAAAACCACAGATGAAACAACTGAAAGAGCAAAGCAGCTTGCTAGACAAGCAGATTCCTATTCCATCAGAAGTCTTGAAATTTCTCTACAAGCATCTTATTTCATTAGGAAAGTATACAGCCACACAATACAAAATAAATTTATACTATAATAATATAATACAAATTTGAGAAAGCATGCATGGAGAAGGGTATGGTAGGCCTTCATGTCTATCCCTTTATCATGTACCACAATTGCAAGGTGCATAGATGTAATCTCTGATGAAATTATAATCAAACTGATAACATATATCCAAAACAGTCCAAAATTTGCCAAACAATTTGATGAAGTCACAGATGTTGCAAATTTAGCTCAGCTTCTGGCATTTGTTGATACTGTTACAAAAGTGTATGAAGTGTTTCTGTTTTGCCAAGCACTGAAAGGGAGAGCTACAAAGAAAGCCATTTTCTCTCTTGTTGATGAGTTTTTACCACAAAAAATCTTGTTGGGGGGCATTGAGGGGACAATTGTAATTTTGGATAACAAGAAATGGTTTAGATCCAAAGTAAGTGCTTTTTCTTCATTTACACATTGCATCATACACAGGGAAGAACTAGCTTCAAAGAAATTGCAGTATAAAGCAAAGAAAATGTTACAAGATACTGTTTTAAATCAATAGCTTTGAAACAGCAGGCTGTTTTCTATTTTTTGTGGAGAAATGAGATCCATATATGACAAGCTCCTGCTGCATAAAGAGGTGTACTGGTTGTTACTCAGGAAAGTACTTAAGTCACATTGTGCAGCTGGAAGATGAGCATCATATTTTTTTTAGACTGCAGGGCTTCTAGTACTATGCTACTGGGCTAATATTTTCATTAAGCTCAATGACCTTGACTTGTTACTGCAGCTTGGATGAAAAGGAGTTAAATCAAAGTCTTATTAATGACATGGTTTCTATTAATCTGAAAAACCTTCAGTCTTAATTTACAGATCAATTTCTAGAATCAGAGTGGGGAAAACATGATTGGATCTGGAATCCATTTAATGACAGCATAACTTCTCATCTGCCAATGGAAGCTCAAGAGAGCTCACAGAACTATCCAGTGATAAAACCCTTCAGGCAGAATTCAAGTCAAAACCTCTTAGAAACTTTTGGATGCTAGTTTGCAAATATTACTCTGACAAAAAGCAATGGACATGCTTTTGCCTTTCACATCAACATACCTATGTGAATCAGCATTTACTGCTCTGACAGAAATCACAACAAAACAGTGGTCTCATCTGCAGGGAAAGGGGGATTTCGAATTTGTTATGTCAAGAATTCAGAAGAGAATGGACCTAATCCTATCCCAAGCTCAAGCCCATCCTTCACACTAAATTGGTGTAAACTGAAACTGTCTTATGCTATGTACCATTTTATTACTTGTTTTATTTTTATTGCAGGTTTAATTAGACAGAGGGCATCATAAACAAGTTTGTGAATCATTGATGTAGAGTATAAACTGAAGTTCTTATGTACAATCAATATGGCATAAGCCACCAAAAACGTCCTTTAATGTTTTAATAACCATACTTAAGTATACCTAAAAAACTTTTTCAACTGAAGTAATTCAGTTCAAGGCAGTACAAAATACGAAAACTTTGTTTGAGCTTAAATTTATGTTGTAGCTAAACCAGAATTTGAATGATGTGGCAATTAATTATACGATAAATAAGAAGTATTTTGTCTAATCTGAGTAAGGATCTAGATTTTATCAGTTAATACTCACTGCCTTATTAAATTTAAATTTTTCTTCCTTCACTCTATCTGAAGCTTTTCCTGCACGTTCTTCACGTTTTCTGGCTAATGTGGAGTCTGGCACAGGTTTAAAGATTAGGTCAGTACGAGCACAAGTACTGAACGCTGAACCTTGAGTGCACTGTCTCAAGAACCTAGTTAAAACATTTTACAATTTAAATTTCCAACTTATTACAATGAATTAACTAGATGAAGATTCATTATATTCATTTTATTGAAAATCATTTAAAACAAAAGTGATCAAAATTTTTAAAAAATCTAAAATTAATTTCTAAAACATGTTTTCATTTGTAATCAGTTTGAAACTTATTCTCTACAGAAATTTCCACAGCTGTCAAATTTTAGAAAATGCTACTAAGATTTTGAAATAAAAAAAAATCAAATGTGGCAAACATTGACAAAAATTGTGTTTGTTTATTTAACTTAAATTATTTTTATCCGGAAACTTAGTTGCTCAGTGCTATGTCTGTGTTAATAAAAGCAACTAGACCAAATATTGGTCTAAAGAAACTGTTTCCTTTCACCTCACATACTTGTCCAGAGGAAAAGCAACTGTTACTATGATAGTTTACTTAATATTTAACAAAAACTATTAAAACAGTTTATACATACGTCATCCATAACAAATAAAGGTCAACATTTTCCTACACTGAAAATGTACTTCCAATTGGTACTTACATCTTCTCACATAATAGCTTCTCTCGTTCAGTGTTGCCCTCTATATATGCATATTTTTTGCTTGTCACTAGCCTTGAAATTCCCATCTACCCCATGTTTAACATGGTTCTATTGTGTCTTCACATGCAACCTTCCATCATAGGAGTGAAACAAACACTCCTGATGCAGGTTACTTCCTTTATACTATTCAGCCTAACCTTCACTTCGATATTAAGCACAAAGAAGTACCTGAAGGGGGGAGGTTTGAACTGAGGTGGGTACCCATTGGAAATACATTATCAGTGCAGGAAAATGTTAACTTCCAATGCAGTATCTCAACTCTCTCACATAATAGCTAGAATTCCACATTGAAAAGGTGGAGGAACCAGTGCAAAAGTTACCTTTATGAGCACCCTTTCGAAAGCATCCAAAGAATGTCTCAATAGTGTGACCTCTTTAGAGAAATGAACACACCCTTGGGAGACCACACCACATCTGTACCAGGTATACTCTTTGCTCAATGAGATTGTAAACATCACTTAAATGTGCAGAAAATAGTTGGAGCACATCCATCAATATATACATGTTGGTTGGTCCAGCTCAACACTCAACACAAACACCCAAGAATTGCAATCCCAGAGATAGCAAGATGGAAGGTTCCCAATGAAATATAGTAATGGTGGGGAAAAACTATATGGATGTTCCCCATGGTGTAGAATGGCTATGGCTAGGGCATGTTAGACTGTACTTGGTGGGTCAACTCCAGTCCAAAACCAAGCAGCATCGGGTATTTATCTCCTGGTCTATGGTAGGAGGAGGGTCCCTACCATCTTCACATTAAGCCTATAAGATGAAAGGGAGAATGTACAGAGGGTGAGAAGAACAACATTAATATCCCAATCTGGCAATATTGTAGGGTGGGGAGGATGACTGACTCAGAAGAAACATAACAAAAGGAAACACTAGGAGAGGAAAACACTGTGTGGTACCTAATAAAACTGCAGGTATTTGACAAGGCTGCTTGATATTTTACTTTGGCAGATACTGAGGAGTTGTGATGAAACAGCCAGGTAAAATTCTGTGTTGTGAGGTATGGTTAGTCAGGAAGGAAAGATTCCTTGGTGCAGTGGCAAAATGTCCACCACTGTCCCTGATAAACCATGAGAGAAGAAAGGTGAACTGAATGGGGCAAAAATGATACCATATATGTGTAAAGTTTGGATCTACTTGCAAAGGGCTGGACAAAAGCTACACATGAAGATGACGTGTGAGAGGTGCAGGAAGAAAAATTGGCAACAGAGGTTGGTGGAGGAGGGATGGCGAAAGAAAAAAAAGTAATGAGGGTGTCATTTGGAGGAGAATGAGAACCAGGACCCATGGCAAATGCCAGCCAGAAAGGTGCTATCAGAAGAGTTTGACATGGAGTGGACTGGATGGTGAAAATCACCTTGGGTAGGAGAAAGATTAGTGGGTAGACATGTGGGTACAGGTTGGTCCAATGCAGATAGAGAGCATCTACAGCTAAAGCTAGGAGATAATGTAATGGAGATGAGAACAGTAGTAGTTTGGTGGTAAGATGTGTGGAAAAGCATCTAAGTGAGGAGAACTCCATTGTGTGCTGAGCCACCAGACAACCTGAGGGTCTAGGGACCATTGGTGGGGAGGATCTGTTCAGGATGAGAAAGACTATCCATGACCAGATTGAATGCACTCAAAACATGACACGCAATGAGGCATGTATGAAAAGTAAGATCCCAAAAGAGTAGTTCTAACATTTGAAAACAGAGCAATTGTGATTGGGTGCCCCTTATTTATTGATGTATGAGACAACTATTGAAGTGTTGGAATGGATCCTGACCAATGTACCTGATACAGAGGGAAAGAAGTGATCCAAAGTCCAACAGATGGCCAGTAGATCTAATATGTTGATATGCATGGTCATCTCGACAGGAAATCAATGCTCTGAAACATCCTGATGCTCTAAACATGCCCCCCCCCCAACCCATGAGTGAAGCATCTGTGAACAAATGTAACTTGGGACGAGGAGGTGAAAGAGGTACACCCACTGTGATATTGTCTTTGTTTCTGTTTATCAAAAATGTGAAAATGATTAGGAGGGAAGGTGGTGGATGGATAATGGAGTCCAAAGAATGACCTAAGGATATAAGAGCAACTATGGAAGCTAACTTCCCCAAATAGAAAGAACCTTGTAAGTATAGATTATAGGAACAGTAAGGGCCTTGGTGACCGTAAATTCCCTTTACCATAGTTTAGGAGAAGCAGGCTGGGCCTGACTTAAGGAGTAGTTGAAAAAGACTCCCAAGTGCATAAGGTATTGAGTAATTGAATGGAAGGGATCCCCACTTTGAATATCCAACCTACGTGACTTGCTTCTGTCAGAAGCAATTGTGTGTGTTTGTTTACTATCAGTTTGGATGAAGCCAGTCATCCATAGATTGATGAAAATGCAAGCCCTGGGCATGGAGTAGTTGTGCAAAGGCCTGACTACTTGACAAAAGACATAAGGTGTTGTAACCAACCCAAAGGGCAGCATGTGAAACTGATAAACCTGACCCTTGTGGACAAACTGAAGGTACCATCTGAAAAGTGGGGTAATAGGAATGTGGAGGCATGCAACCAAAACATTTAACTTGGTCATCCACAGACCTGGAGTGAAAGTCTACCATGGAGTGAGAAAAAACTCATAGTGAAAGAGAGAAGGTCTGTGAAATAGTTTAGTTGAAACAAATTAACCACCACAGACTAGTTCCCAGTTTGTTTGGTAACTACCAACAGCCAGAGTAAAATCCTGGAGAGGTCTGACAGTGGAGAGGTTCAATAGTGCCTTAAGGAGAAGAGTTTGGACCATTTCAGAGAAATGCTGGCAAGTTGTGGGATCCAGACAAGGGTGAAGGAAACAGGATCTGTTGACAATGGAGGGGGAAAGGAAGTGAATGAAGAGTCACTAAGACAGCACCTGAAGAATCCAAGGATCAGAAGTGAACCCCTACCAAATGTGAATAAATCCAGCCATGCAGGCATCTAACTTGCCAGATCCTATTGGGTAGTCACCAGTACAGTTGGCAGCATTTGTTTCTGCAGTGAGAAATACTATGACTCACTGTTGGAACCATGGAGAGAGAAACAGGTAAAAGTTGAGAAGGTGTGGTATAGGAAATGGGAGCAAAATGAGATCCGCATAAAAATGATGCTATTCTGAGATCACACAGATAGGTAGTGGGTTATGCATCTGAGACAAAAGTGCATCCCTATCCAGGAGATACCAGTAGCAGAGTAGCCATATTTGGAGGGAAAACAACTGAAGAGGATAAACAAGCCCACATGGAAAATATGAGAGTGCAGATCTCCTCTGAAAACCCTGTAGGGGATCAGTAGATAGCCTTGGCTAGGAGGTGCATGGTGGACAGGTACTTAAGGATAGAGGTTAGGGTCAGTTGGAGTCTGGAAAATTGGGCCTGGGAGAACCTAACTGAACAATCAAGATTGGCCCCCACACTTGCATCAAAGACTCCAACAGTTGTGAGTCTAGAAAAGGAATTTTTGCTAGGTGATAAGCCAAAGCAGAAAAATACAAATACCTAGGGGAACTCAGATAAAATGTAACATACCTGTGAAAGCATGTCCAAAGAGGCTGAAAGAGGCCTGGCAGCATCCACAGGTGACACACAGGATTGTATGGCATAGGATAGGGGAGGAAAAAGGCACTCGAAATCAAACCAGATTCCTCCATAAAAGGGGATCTTGTCCAGGTTTGGAAGAAGCTGGCTGTCTCATGTAGTATTCGATCTCTGTCGAACTAAGGCCAAGACCTCCTTAGCTTAAAGTGTTTAACCTGAAGACTGAAAACTGACAGACGAATAGTAGTAGTCATGCCAGTGGTATTTGTGACATGAAATTTAGAATTCAGGGTTCAACTGTGATAGTTCCACGAAAGATAAAGAATAAAGGAAATCATAAGTTAAATGTTTAACGATTGCAAAACCAAACTACTACTTTAATGGTTGGAGATGGCTTGAATGGGTAATGAAGAAAAACTTTAATATAAGTTTAACATAACAGCAAATGTACAACGTTTCGACAAGGTTTTGTCATCATCGGGTACAAGTGTACTAAGGGAATAGAGTAGCAGTAGTCTTGACTATAAAAGTTATGAATATACTTGAAAAAAAAGAGTACTTAATTCTTGGAAAATTGGAGGGAATACAAGGCCATTAATCTGGTAAAGATTCATAGATGATATATTTGTAGTAGGGAACACTAATTTAAAGTCACTTATTAGTTTCCATGATGTCTTGCATACAGTCCATCAGTTAATAAAATGTACATTTATGTCATACCAGGAAGAAATCTACTGTTTTTAGATACCATCATTCATTTTAAGGATGGGGAAATCATTATTGGTAGTTTTAGTAAACCATCTATTAAAAGCCTTTGTTTTGCACTTTCACTTATATCACCCACCAGCAGTAAGAAATGAGTTGATGGTTATCTCCATAAGATTCATAAAATTTGTAATAGAAAAGTAGTATGGAAGGAAGCCTAGTGAAAATTTTGATGACTCTTTTATGAAAAAATGTTTACCAACTAGAATATATACAAAACCTAATAAGGGATTCTGAGAGGCAGCAAAACAGACATGTTCTCTTGAACCATGGAAATAAGAAAAGTGCATTTCAAGCTTAGTTTACTTGGGTGATATTATCATTACAAAACTGAAGAGAGTAATCTGACTTGCTCAATAAAACATTACAAAAGCCAGTCATCTCCCTTAAAGCCTTAACAACAAGTTTAGAATATAAAAAGAAACACAATGTGTAAAAGAAAATCACTAAATATGGGCCACATGACTGGTGTTTTTGTAAGAATGTCATTAATGAAGTAACTTGTGGCAGATGCTGTATTATGTACATAGGAAAAACATGTCGACCCATACATGACAGAAAATCTGAACACATGGTGACATCCAAAACCTCAATACCAATAATGCTACTGCTGAACATTTTGGAAAAAAAGCATGGGATACTACAAGTGAATAGCAGCTTATCTAAAAGTCACAGTTTCCTAGATCAAAAGATGAAAGAGTCAAATTTAATCAGGAAAATATATCTAAAGTGAAAAAATATTAAGTGTAAAGATGCTGATAGTATTTTTCAAATTTTGATATGTTGTTATTTTGATGAAGTCTCTATACACTTTCACAATGGTTAATACATACATATATATATCTTGATATTATAATGTGTATATATTGATACAATAGGTGAAAACTATATATAGATATCTCTAAACTTACAGATATGAGTATAAAGATGTATTTCATACATGTAATGTATCCTCTGATTTTAACAGTTCATTTGTTGATTTACATATTACTTACTATTCTTGGTTTGGTTTATTTCAACAATTTAAATTCAAGACTGTTCAGTATTATTTTTAATAAAATTTCAGCCTTTTAGACACATGTTTTAATGTTTGATTACCTGATGAGGAAATTCTAATTTAGTTTCAACTGAATTAATGAACTTGTAGGTTATCGTATCTCCTGAATGAAACTGTGATAGTGAAATTTTGAGCTAATAACAATATATTCTGGAGATATAAGACATTATTTTATTTATACTAATATATGTATAGAAATAACTAATAATAAACTCTAGTTTGTGTTTAAAATGTTAAGACTAATAGATTTTAATTTTTGACTTTGTGCAATACTTTCATTTTAACTTGTTGGACAAATATTAATAACTTCATATAGATTTTCTGTTAGTTTTCTAATCCTCTATCATAATGGTTAGACAACTAAAAACTTCATATTACATTCAAATTCATCTACTTAATCATTTTAGACTGTAGCTCCTAAACCTGAGCACAAATGAAATTACAGTGGATACACTGGCACAAGAACCTACCAAAAAAAACTTTATATCACAAATACTTAGATATCTATAAGAAATCTTACATGGCAGACTCACTACGATGAGATTCCATCTCCAGCTTTATGTTTTCCAAACTTGATTTATACATCTGGAAACAACCAACAGAATCACTGTGAATGACTTCTTGTGAAGTATTTTTGGTTTTAGTTTCTTTAACAGATGGAATTTCTGCAGAAACCGTATTTGATGAAACTGTGTTGCATGCTCTGATGGAACCAGGGCTAACAGTTGACAACAGTAATTGAGTCCCAGGGGGAAAAAGTGTTGATGAACTCACAGTGAGATCAGTAGTAATAAGAGATGAAGATGATACTGTTGCAGTACTGCTCACAGAAACTGATGTATGTACCTTAGGAGTTCTCTCTGACACTTGGTGGTTTAAGGACTTAGACATAGAAGATGAAGTTGGAGAGACTAGTGTATTTGGTAGTGGATGCTGATCAGATGAAGATAAGGATGGGTATGGAAGATTTGGCAGAAACATCTCTGGACCATCAAAGTGAGGAGCAAATAATGGTTTATAGGGGTACTTTTGAGGTATGCAAGTTTCTTGACAAGACTGTGAAAAAGATGATAAAGAGATAGATGGGAGTTGTGATTGTGTACTAGAAGAAAGAGGTTTAGTTACTGAAGATGATATTTTTACAGATGGAGCAAGTGTTGAGGTGGTAGTTGGAGCCACTGAAATGGTTTCAAATGATGTAGACACAGCTGATAGCATTGTTGTAGGTGTCTGTAATGTGTAGGGTATGGAAATTGGTTCATCCATGTTTACTGAAGAGAAACTTGAGGAAAGAAAATGAGCTTTGCAATCAGTCACTAGAGAATCCCTAGATATAGGATCTGACAAAGATGTGATCTCTGATGTTTGTACACTTCTGAGCAAATCTGAGGAAACATGTGATGGAAGTTCTTGAGGGTCAAGTGGTTCTGTTTTGATATCTTGCAATTTCAAAGGGGGAACTTGAGAATGAGAATCTTGGACTGAGAACTTTGTATTATCCAAGAATTCATTAATATGTGATAAAGGACTTTGGAAAGGAAAGGGTGAGCTTAGGGAAAAGCCTGATGCAATATCTGGAAGTTTCTCTGGTAACAGACACTGTTTCAGGTCATCTTGAGCAAATACAACATCTGAAATCACTTCTTTTATTTTGATCAGTGGTGAAAAAGATGTTGGTGGAAACATAACAGGAGGTGATAAAGAAGGTAATGCAGTAGTACCAGTAGCGTTACTAATCTGTTGCTGAAGAGAAGAACTTTCACTGGTGACGGAAAGTGGTTCATTCTTTATTTCTGAAGAAAGCATAACCCATTCTGACACATCATTTGGTGAAGGAATCTTTTGGTTTCTTGATTCTGTTATGTCAGGCATAATTTCTGTGTTATCTTTAATTGCTGATGTTTCTTTCACACTTGGTTAAAAGAAAGAAAGGAGAAATATCAAAAAACAAAATAATTAATACTTGAAATTAATACAAATTTAACATGCATAACTTAATATTCAAATACATTAGTAATGGATAATTCTGATAATATAAAACATGATCTCAATGATTTACTTACACTCAAGATTTCTAAGCCAAATTTTCTCAAACACAAGAAATTTGTGGTAGATTCAATCTTTGTATGTACGGCATGCTTTTCACTTATCTCATATAGTTATATCAAAAAACTATTAAAACAGTAAACAGATTTACAGTTAAGATTGTTGTCTTTATTAGTATGTAAAAAATAAGTAAAAACTGAGTTACATAAAATGCTATTAAATATACTTTTTTGTCCACAGCATGTCTTTGTTTGGTGTCCTTTTTTGAATAATTTCTGGCAGCCATCCGGATATGGTTACATACATCGATAATGCCAGGAACCAGATTTACAGCAATAACTAGAGGCACCACTCAGGCACGAAGAATCAGTACCATATACTATCCCAAAATGCATATTATAATGTCAATGACAAATATCATTCTCTGCTATAAGTACTTGTTTGTTTGTTTTGAATTTCGTGCAAAGCTAAACGAGGGCTATCTGTGCTAGCTGTCCCTAATTTAGCAGTGTAAGACTAGAGGGAAGGCAGCTAGTCATCACCACCCACTGCCAACTCTTGGGCTATTCTTTTACCAACGAATAATAGGATTGACCATCACATTATAAAGCCCCCATGGCTGAAGGGGTGAGCATGTTTGGTGTGACAGGGATTTGAACCCACGATCTTAAGATTGCGAGTTAAGTGCCCTAACCACTGTAAGTATATATATATATATATATATATA